CTCTGCATGCTTTCAAAGCTGGGAAAAGAAAAAAAAAAAAAAAAAAGTTTGCTGGTTAGTCAACAACACAGATTTAAAATGCTCAACCCAACATACTAGAACAAAGCTTTCAAAATTGGTAGACTTATACTGGTAAAGTTAAATATACTGTAGGTATACAGGTTCTTTTTATTTCCTCCAAAGACTCTCTCTTTATGCAATTTTATGAATGTAAAATTTCCTTAAATAAAAGTATTCAGCAGTCCAGCCGCTCATAGTAGAGTGCACAGATGTTAATATTCCTCTTCTAAGAGCATACTGTAATAAATGGGAGATAAACGATTAGGGAAAAACCTTAATACTATATTAGACATACCTTATAGCCCATTAGCTTTTTACCTGCAAACCTACATGACAAGCAGTTTGAAGTTGCTTGTAATTTGTTCTGTTTGTCTCTTCATCTGTCCAGACACCTAGCCAGAGCCAAGCCTTGTGGCTCTAAAATGTAGCCTGCCCTATAATTCAGCTTCTTCAAACTATAACTTCATCCGTCACAGACCTGATTTACTCAAGGAACATATTGCTTATTAAGTGGGTTAGCTGGATTTACATTCTGTTTAACCAAGCACCTTAATGACAGAAGCTGAGAGGATTAGAAAAAAACCCACCTCTGTGCCAGGGAGGGAAGGAAGGAGGACAGCTGCCAGTCAGATTCTCTATTATACAATTACATTTCACATAACTTCAAAAGAAAGGCCATTCCAGGAAGTAACTGGAATTAGTGAAAATTCAAATCACCGCCATCAAGACAGAAATGGAGGAGGAAGAAGCACAAAGGACAAGAGAAGGAAGTATCTCTTTAACCTCTCAAACTTCTCCACCCCAATTGGCTAAGGCTTCTCATTTCAAGAATACTGCAGCTTTGCACTGACTTTTAGTTGCCAAATGGCAGGACAACAGGAGAGGCGGAAACTGAACTGAGCATACTTAAATGCAAAAATGCAAAATGTATTTCTATAATCTGGTTTTCGTTCACATTTTCAGCATTTGCCAAGCAATCTGCAAGGGGCAATTCTTTTTTAGAATATTTTTTTTCCAAGCAAAGCAAGCAAATTAATACCATGACCAAAATGACAGGTTTATGACTTCCTTGAAACGCTGCATAGGTAAGTGAGGTATGACTTCTGAGAACAGACAGTTTCTTTTTATTCAGTGTTGCTGCTGACAAAGGTGAAGCTACCCAGTTATTCGTGCCCTATCAGGATGCCGGTACTACCAAATTAGTTATTACACCAACATTTAAAACAATAACAGGTACCAAGGAAACACTGTTCCTGCAAATACACTGGTGAGACTGGAAGGGCCAGTAACTCTCCAGATCAGATCTTTAAAACAAAAAGTAAGAATGCTCCTTGGTGCCGTTTAATTAGATGTGCACAAACTCCCTTTATGCTGCAGGTGCCAATTAGCTGCTTAAACAATTAAATGCCCAATTAAAAACCTTTGTTTTCACTTATCAGTCTTATTTAGGGGGAGAACTCAGTTTTGTGGACCTTGGTGAATCTAAATCTTTTCCAAAAACTCAATATGGTCCATTCTCACTTACCAGCCAAGCTGTGGTTTTAACTGTCATGTCTATTAATGCAGTCAAATCAAGCTAAAACACACAGTCTCTCTCAGCTTTCTCCAGATGAACTGATTACAGCCAAAAAAAGATTCCACAGGGTCAGATTCTGTCCCTCCCAACTTCCACCCACACTGCAGCCTGCAAGAGAGCACTATACAGACATAAAGCCAGCCTGTGAAATAAATGTTTTCACAAAAGTCTCCACATCAAGCACTGCTCCCTTGTTCAGGAGGACATGTAGAAAGAGTTTGAACTCAAAAACTCATTTTAGTGTCCTACTTGTATTTAGGGTACTAAATTAGTACCCTCCTTCTGAATAGGAGAAAAGTAGGGAAAGTTGTCTCTCCTCTTTGTTGGAGGAGACGGTCAGCGATGTCTTCGTGTAACTCTGGCATAATGGTTTTTTTTTTTTGTTTTTTGTTTTTTTTTACAGGAATTTAGTTACTACAAAAGCAGAAACTTCTTTACCATTGAGATTCCTAACCCTGGAACTAGCCCAACCGCACAGATACTGATCATTGTTTCAGGGTGAGTAATTCCAACGTACACCAACTCAACTTTCTGCTATGTGGAGTTTCCAATTATGTCCTGAATCCAACGGCCTTTGCCAATATTTGTTACACATTTCCTACCAAAATAACTTTGCAGAGTCTGAAGCCAGTTCTAAAAGACTTCAGCTCAGTTCACAGTGTCTAAGAATAACTAATTGCAGACTAATTCACCACAAGTCTTTTTGGCCTGCCCTCCCCAAGAGAAAAAAAAAATTCCTCTCACCTTTTTGTATCATAGTCAATTAAAACATAATTTTCCATAGCAAGCTTGAGATCTGGGATTTCTTCACAGACCCACCTGAAATAAGACAAGAATGAGAATGCAATGGATCTGCAAAACTTTTATTGCTGTTCTTAATGCTTAACACAGCAGTTTTTATTTTTACTGAAACAGCATTCTGCCTGAATTTTATTTCGACTGACATTCCTATAGTAGGTATGATGATCATAATATTGTTAGCAGCAAAGTAGACATCAACAAGTGATGGAACAGTCCTCATCCAACACAAAACGAGCACAAAATAAGGAGCCTTATACCACTGGCAGTAGCATAAAGCTCTTGAAGTGACACCAACTCAATAGCAACTTCACAATGAAGTGACAAATATACTCAAATGATGCAAAAAGTAAGTCACAGCTGGTGCTAATCTAACTGAAAAACGTGAAGCAAAAAGGTACATCTTCCTAATTTTTTTTTTTTTTTTTTTTTGTAAAACAACCACTTTGGATAAAGCCACATGCAGCAAAACTGGACACATCCTCTCCTGCAAAACCATGTCTGAGAAAGCACAGGTGTTTTCAGCATAAAAATGAACACTTCTAAGCATCTGGTCCAATATATCGTATGTTGTACCTCATTAGTGAAATATTTTGTACTCCCTCTTATGTGACCTCTTTAGAAGCGGATTTTTCAATGGGGCTTCTGATGATTGGTACTTTAAGGATGCCCTGTACTCTGCTGGCATCATGTACGAAGGGCTGACACTCACTGCCAGTTTACCTGACAAGCTAGGGATGCCACAGGAAGTCTATAGAGGTCTGTATTCCACAAATACATACAATATATAAATATTGGCGAGGGGAGGTCTGTATACAAATACTGGGGGGAGGGGGGAATATTTTCAGGTACAACTTACAAAATAACAAGCAAGGGCCCAAAAGTAAGTGACAAATCACCAAAGCAAGTCTTTGAAAGCGGTTAAGGAAGCTACATCTGAAGAAAGGGTTGCAAACCCTCTTTCCTTTAAACATTAAATAAGAGTATTCTGTTGCAACTTCCAGATGCAAAATTCTCCAGAACGCCACTGGAATCACACATTTTCTTCTATTATGATCTTGACATTGAGGACGGATTTTTAAAAAACATTTTAAAAATACTATTGGAATAATCAAAAAAAGCTCTTTACAGAGTTACAACCCTATTGTGTTTCATGGACCTAAAGTAAGGACTTCTAATAGCCTCGAGAGTGACTCTGAAGATGGTTTTGTGGGGCCTCGTGTTTATCATCTCCATTATTCATGAAACCAATCTAGTCAGAGT